CAGACGCCAGTAGATGTAGCCACGATCACGCAGGTCAGGGTTATCGGAGTCCTGAGGAGATGAAGAAAAAAAGAATAGCGTGAATGGAGAGGAAACATGACACTGACAGCCAGACGCTGAGCTCATTTTGAGATTAGACTTTTATCCATCATCTGCATGTTAATGTAATATTTATGATGGTGTGGATGTGTTCTGATGCTGATGGACAATAATGCCCAGTGTTGTATACAATGAGCATAAGTATGCAATTGTCTTTCATTACAAATAGATTCAAAATCTTTTTTCTAGCATTTGTTACCTGTATTTTCAAAATGTGGGGTGACTAAAGACCAAACAAATAAAAAATGGCTAATATCAAGTTATAGTGTAACACTACAGTTTATTATGCCCAAGCACATCTCACCTGAGTGGCCAGACTGAGCACTTGCTGAACCAGCTCCTGAGTTTCTGAGGGCTTCTTGAGGAACAGCTTCACTATGGCTGTCAGCAGAGTCAACTGCACCTGAAAGCAACAAATGCAGCAGCTACTGAATCAGATCCCTGCTTTTAAACAAACTATATACCGCATAAACAAAAAACACCATAACAGAAAAACTGACAAAAAACAAAACAAAACAAACACCACCACCCAAACAAAACAAAACACACCTAAACAAACCAAACCAAAAACAAAATACAAAACGAAAAGAACAAAAACAAAATAGAAAACAAACTAAAAAAAATATATATATATATATATATATAAACTGAGAGCTTTCATCATGAAAGCCCTTTGCGGTGAATGCCATGGCTTCCTTCCACAAATGCATTGGGGGGTTTGTGGTAGACAGAGGCCAGCGAGCCGATGTGGCAGATGAGCTCGTCCAACAGGGTGGGCTCGATCAGGTCTGTTTCCTCTGAAATCAAAGGCTTCTCAGACAGCACAACCTCTTTAGCAGTCACAGGGTCAGTGGACAGCAGACGCCAGTAGATGTAGCCACGATCACGCAGGTCAGGGTTATCGGAGTCCTGAGGAGATGAAGAAAAAAAGAATAGCGTGAATGGAGAGGAAACATGACACTGACAGCCAGACGCTGAGCTCATTTTGAGATTAGACTTTTATCCATCATCTGCATGTTAATGTAATATTTATGATGGTGTGGATGTGTTCTGATGCTGATGGACAATAATGCCCAGTGTTGTATACAATGAGCATAAGTATGCAATTGTCTTTCATTACAAATAGATTCAAAATCTTTTTTCTAGCATTTGTTACCTGTATTTTCAAAATGTGGGGTGACTAAAGACCAAACAAATAAAAACTGGCTAATATCAAGTTATAGTGTAACACTACAGTTTATTATGCCCAAGCACATCTCACCTGAGTGGCCAGACTGAGCACTTGCTGAACCAGCTCCTGAGTTTCTGAGGGCTTCTTGAGGAACAGCTTCACTATGGCTGTCAGCAGAGTCAACTGCACCTGAAAGCAACAAATGCAGCAGCTACTGAATCAGATCCCTGCTTTTAAACAAACTATATACCGCATAAACAAAAAACACCATAACAGAAAAACTGACAAAAAACAAAACAAACACCACCACCCAAACAAAACAAAACACACCTAAACAAACCAAACCAAAAACAAAATACAAAACGAAAAGAACAAAAACTAAATAGAAAACAAAAACAAAACAAACAAAAATATATATATATATATATATATATATCAAACCTGAGTGCTTTCATCATGAAAGCCCTCAAGGAAACTCTCCAGGAGCTCATCAGCGTTGTCGATACGCTCAGCATATTCACCCACAATCCAAATCATGGCAGCTCGAGCGTCTGGCTCATCCAAAGAGTCCAGGTTTTCACACAGAGTGGCAATTATGCTCTCATACCTGCGCAGACAACAGAGAGGTGTTTCAGCTGCCCATTAACTATACGTTCTTTCATTCTACATGGCCTTTTTTATTTTTCTTTAGATAGACAATGTAATATATACTCAATTTTAAAACATAGTGAGTTGCATACACAGCATTGCTTAATAATCCTAAAATACCTAATTTTAGTCTAATTCTAAGGAAGCACAGAATGTATACTGTACATGAGATTCAAAAATTATGCAATCCCAGAATACATTGTGTCAAGCTCAGTGACAAAAATAAATCCAAAGTGGTGGAAGAGTATTAAAACATTTCAATGAAATTAGTTGAGATGAGAGATGTGGACTGACTTGTTGGGGTATTTGCGGAAGATGTCCCTGATGACCACAATGGCCTCTTGCACGACGTAATTGACCTTAGTCTGGATGAGGTCCAGCAGAGTGCTAACACAGCGCTCAGCAGATTGCTGTACTCACAGATAGAAAAAGAAAACTCAGTCACAGCTACACACATTACAATGACAAAACTCATCACAGAACTACAGCACTTCAACCATGATGCACAATGAAAAAAGCAATAAAGGTTGCTTATAGAAGAGGAGAGATTTTCAAACATTTCTCTATGGAATGAGGTTGCATACAAAAAGATATATAGGGCTGAATAATGAGGCAAGACATACCTCCACTTTGATAGCACAACGGCCGATGGCTCGAACGGCTTTCCGAACAAAGTCTACATCCACTTCAGTGGCATACTCTTTCAGTTCAGCCAATACCTATGGAAATCAACATAATTTTAAGTGGATTTCTATAGAAATCGATCGTACTTCTGAGATGAAACGCTGAATGACCTCCACAAGAGAAAGAACAGGGAATGGATATCTCGGTCTCTCACAAGGTTAGAAGCTCTGGGGGAAAAGTTCGGGAAGAGTCTGATGTTAACATTTAACAAATGGACATGTTTATGAAAGTGAAAAGTGACGTGACGTGGCCAAATATGGTGACCCATACTTGGAATTAGAGCTCTGCATTTATCCCATCCAAAGGGCACACACACACAGCAGTGAACACACACACCCGGAGCAGTGGGCAGCCATTTTTTTTTGCTGCGGTGCCCGGGGAGCAGTTGGGGGTTCGGTGCCTTGCTCAAGGGCACCTCAGTCGTGGTATTGAAGGTGGGAGAGAGCGCTGTACATTCACTCCGCCCACCTACAATCCCTGCCAGTACGAGACTCGAACCCACAACCTTGGGTTACGACAAGTCCGACTCTCTAACCATTAGGCCACGATTAAGCCCCCCCAGGACTTTATGGGGCTAATAGCTAAATTACTTAATATAAGTAAATGAAAAACAGCAAAGAGATGCATTAGAATGAAATGCAATGAAGTAATTTGTTGTCATATGCAGTGTAAGCACAGCTGTCGATTTACAAGAGGCAGCTTAGAGCTTGATGGGCTTAAGCGTGTGTTTTTTGCTAAACACAATGACAGACTGTCACTGAACAGAAAGCGTAAGGGACCATGTTCCTTTTAGGCACAATTCAGAGCAATGCAAACAGAAGAAGAAATCGACAATGCAGCTTTACTGAAGCTGAATTTGTTCTCTTTTGCAATTTAGGTCTTGCATACTCATACAAAAAAGACGAAATCAAATAACAGCCCATTTGTACATCAATTAATTTTGCAGTGTTATGAAACATTCAGCTGAACATTTAATTTTTCATTTGAAATAAACTGTTGATTTTTTTTTTTCAGTCAATGCAATCTAAATCCCAGAGGACGGCGGCCAATATCCTAGCAACATTTTTTTATTAGCATCGCAGGAAATTTAGACTGTGATCTCAACATATGCATAAATGACAGTGAAAATCATAGACGATAATGATGTTATTAATGCAGCTTTAATTAGAGTTAGAGAAATACCTCTATTATTTGAAACTTTTAAAGGCCTGGATTAGCTGGCTGCCTCTGGCTACTAATGAAACTAAAGAAACTACAGATTCTTAAACGCTCAAACTTGTTTACTTCAGACCATGATAATAATCATGTGATACATACACTGTAAAAATGGTATGAGCTATCTACTTAAAAAATTATGGTAACATTTTAAGGCTTAAAAACATTTAAAAGGCTTGATTTTTTTTATGGAATCTACCTGAATCAATCATGTAAAATCTCCTGAATTATTTAATCTGACACAATAAATGTAATATTATTAGTTTTGAGTAAGGCCCGTTTGTTTTTGACTGAGTTATTTTGTACAATTAAAAGACTGTATGCAGCCAGACAGCTCAAGCAGGAAAAAACTTGTTACTGCACTAGCATTAACAAAGCTACTGCTTATTGAACAAAGCATCATGCCTCATAGTAGTAGTACATGCAGTTAACCATAACTATAAGCTCTACTCTTCTGCACAATGGTAAAGAAACTTCAACATAACAGAAACTCTTTCAAATGTCAAACATAACTGAACACTAAACATTAATAGATGTTTCCCTTTTCTCAAAAACACAAAGTAGCGCTTAATTTCTATATTTACTCTCCATTTCCAGTCATATGCAAAGCATGCTAGGAACTAACAATCACTCCCAAAATAAAACTGTAAAATTGAGCCAATTCTCTTAAAATAAATCACAATTGAACCACAATTTCTTTAATAAAATATACACACTATTTTTAATTATCACCTAAATTTTTTAAATGAAAATTACAAGACCCATGACTTATTTTTTTTACAGTGTATAGTTTTCTTGCTGAATATCCTGTTCACACTCTGTTTAAAGCTAAGAGTCAAACTCAGTTTGAAATACCTGGGCGATGTTGGCATGAGAGGCCAGGCGGATCATGATATCCAGTTTCTCCAGTTTGACATAGATGGGGTCATTGTACTTGACAAAGAACACTTTGATCTCTTGCTTCAAAATCTCAGGCCTGCAGGTAGAGAGACAGAGATCACCATTTGAGGCTCAGTCAAAACATTTATAAATGCTAAGCAAACAGACAACCGGACAATATTGCCATCTAGTGACAATACAGAATGTATTCATGTGTAAAAGACACTGACTGATTAGATTACAAACTAGTGACACAGAAAACAATTTTAAAAAAGACTGAAAAATATAAGGAGAGCAGTCTAACCGTTTCTGCACAATAAGGTTGATGTTCCTCAAGGCCACATATTGGACCTCGGGTTCCCCAGACAACAGCGTGACGAGGGGAGGAGAGAGCTTCTTCAGAAGAGTGTTGTAGTAATCAGAGTCTTTGGGCAGGAGCTCCAAAAACTTCATCAGTACCTTCACTGCTGACAGCACCACAGCCGAGTTAGCATGAGAGAGACGTGGGGTCACACGCTCACAGATACTAAAAGAGACAGAAAGAGGGAGTTCAGAAAGATGATCTGGTATTTTTTACAGAAAAGGTTTACTATCTTTATTTTCAGAAAAAAATAACTTGATATATGTTCTATTATTGAGGCAGTTCCTGCCAAAATCAAGAGATTGATCATGGAAGACAAAACCCCTATTAATCCAAACAACAAATTGATTGATGATTTTAAAATGTTTCACTAAAGTTGGCATGGAATGGAACAAAATGGAAAATAAAGTGTGGAGTACCTCAAGGTTCTATCCTGGATGCTTTTTTTGTCCCAAAAAAAAAAACACTATATACTTCATTCATATAGCTAGTTATAGCACATTTGACAATGTGATTTCAGCCGTACTGACAAAATTGACATGTGGGGGTATCACAAAAATATTATTTTCTCTAAGGAGAAAATAACATTACTATTATTTTAATATTTTACTACTATTTAAAGGGTTAGTTCACCCAAAAATGAAAATTAGCTTATAAATTACTCACTCTCAAGGCATCCTATGTGTATATGACTTTCTTCTTTCAGACGCATCCAGTCGGAGTTATATTAAAAATGGTGTTTGATCTTTCAAGCTGTTTAATGCCACTCAGCGGGTGTTGCAGTGCATCAGTCCAAATTTTGTACAATTAAAAGACTGTATGCAGCCAGACAGCTCAAGCAGGAAAAAACTTGTTACTGCACTAGCATTAACAAAGCTACTGCTTATTGAACAAAGCATCATGCCTCATAGTAGTAGTACATGCAGTTAACCATAACTATAAGCTCTACTCTTCTGCACAATGGTAAAGAAACTTCAACATAACAGAAACTCTTTCAAATGTCAAACATAACTGAACACTAAACATTAATAGATGTTTCCCTTTTCTCAAAAACACAAAGTAGCGCTTAATTTCTATATTTACTCTCCATTTCCAGTCATATGCAAAGCATGCTAGGAACTAACAATCACTCCCAAAATAAAACTGTAAAATTGAGCCAATTCTCTTAAAATAAATCACAATTGAACCACAATTTCTTTAATAAAATATACACACTATTTTTAATTATCACCTAAATTTTTTAAATGAAAATTACAAGACCCATGACTTATTTTTTTTACAGTGTATAGTTTTCTTGCTGAATATCCTGTTCACACTCTGTTTAAAGCTAAGAGTCAAACTCAGTTTGAAATACCTGGGCGATGTTGGCATGAGAGGCCAGGCGGATCATGATATCCAGTTTCTCCAGTTTGACATAGATGGGGTCATTGTACTTGACAAAGAACACTTTGATCTCTTGCTTCAAAATCTCAGGCCTGCAGGTAGAGAGACAGAGATCACCATTTGAGGCTCAGTCAAAACATTTATAAATGCTAAGCAAACAGACAACCGGACAATATTGCCATCTAGTGACAATACAGAATGTATTCATGTGTAAAAGACACTGACTGATTAGATTACAAACTAGTGACACAGAAAACAATTTTAAAAAAGACTGAAAAATATAAGGAGAGCAGTCTAACCGTTTCTGCACAATAAGGTTGATGTTCCTCAAGGCCACATATTGGACCTCGGGTTCCCCAGACAACAGCGTGACGAGGGGAGGAGAGAGCTTCTTCAGAAGAGTGTTGTAGTAATCAGAGTCTTTGGGCAGGAGCTCCAAAAACTTCATCAGTACCTTCACTGCTGACAGCACCACAGCCGAGTTAGCATGAGAGAGACGTGGGGTCACACGCTCACAGATACTAAAAGAGACAGAAAGAGGGAGTTCAGAAAGATGATCTGGTATTTTTAGGTTTACTGGTTTACTATCTTTATTTTCAGAAAAAAATAACTTGATATATGTTCTATTATTGAGGCAGTTCCTGCCAAGATTGATCATTTATTGAGGCAGTTCCTGCCAAAATCAAGAGATTGATCATGGAAGACAAAACCCCTATTAATCCAAACAACAAATTGATTGATGATTTTAAAATGTTTCACTAAAGTTGGCATGGAATGGAACAAAATGGAAAATAAAGTGTGGAGTACCTCAAGGTTCTATCCTGGATGCTTTTTTTGTCCCCCAAAAAAAAACACTATATACTTCATTCATATAGCTAGTTATAGCACATTTGACAATGTGATTTCAGCCGTACTGACAAAATTGAGGTATCACAATATCACAAAAATATTATTTTCTCTAAGGAGAAAATAACATTACTATTATTTTAATATTTTACTACTATTTAGTTCACCCATTCACCCAAAAATGAAAATTAGCTTATAAATTACTCACTCTCAAGGCATCCTATGTGTATATGACTTTCTTCTTTCAGACGCATCCAGTCGGAGTTATATTAAAAATGGTGTTTGATCTTTCAAGCTGTTTAATCAGCCCGCCGCGCGCGGGGGGGGGGGGGGGGGGGGTGTTGGGGTAACAAAGGCCTCCTGTAGCGAATCGATGCGTTTTTGTAAACAAAATATCCATATTCAAAACGTAATAATCACTTTAATCTAGCTTGCGCCAACAGTTATACACGGAAGCAGCTCCGGGAGGATGACGTATGAGTTCGGCATTGCGCATGCGCCAGTGAGTCTCGTGAAAACCAACGTTTGTTAACAGGAGCAAAGGAAGCAAAATTTCCTTCCTTTAGCTAAGGAAAACCAGTCTCTTGGCTTATATCGAAATCCTCTGACATTCTTCTTTACAAATCCTCGTTTTGTACTTCTAATTAGTGACCGTTGTTTTGTTTTGATCTCTCCCCTGCGCTTCTGCGTTCGTCACTTCTGAGCCACGCATGCGCAAAGACGACCTCATACGTCATTCCCCCGGAACTGCTTCCATTTACAACAGTGAGCGCAAGCTAGATTAAATTGATTATTACGTTTTAAATATGGTTATTTTTCTTACAAAAACGCATCGATTCGCTACAGGAGGACTTTGTTCACTCCCCGGAGCCGTGTGAGACACTCTTTTTATGGATGGGCGCTTTTTATTTCACTTCTTTTGGACTGATCCACTGCAACACCCGCTGAGTGCCATTAAACAGCTTGAAAGATCAAAGACAATTTTTTATATAACTCCAACTTATTTGTCTGAAAGAAGAAAGTCATATACACCTGGATGCCTTGAGGGTGAGTAATTTATGGGCTAATTTTCATTTTTGGGTGAACTAACCCTTTAATATTAATAAATAACATTCAGACAGAGAAACAGTGTGATTTGTTGAAATGCCTTGGACTGAATAAATCAATCCCTGCATTAAAAACCAAATCCTTGATTTGAATTTCTTCCCTTTGATCTTCCCTTGAATTTCCTGTTATAATCTATGCAATTTATAAGCACTTCGTGTGACCTGTATTGAACTATTCTTTATGCTTCTCTAAAAATTACATATGAATTCTATGAATAGAATTCAATGAAGCGCTACACAAAAAATTAAAGGCAAGTCTCTATTTCCTCTCAAGAGACTTATCCCCCAACAAATCTGTTTATCTCTTAGTTTATCTCAGTCTGAAAATGAAAATGACTATCATGTAAACAAATTCTCAGTTCTAATGAAATTTCATCTTAAAATAAGCCTTTGAGGAAACTAAATTAATGGTAAAAGCTCAAGGTAGCACTAATCATTTTTATTGCTGTTCTATTTGCAGTCTAAAAATAAACAGCAATATTATCATATGCCTGGTATATGTAATTAATCTTCTTTGACAATCACAAGTACAAGAATCAGCATGTTGACATTTACCGGCTAGAAAATTGCTCTGACATGTCTGAGTTTAACCTGTCAAAGCAGACAACAGGTTTTTTACTGTCTCTAATCCACTTCAGGTTTTTTGTAATGCAAATTCATAGTAACAGGACAGAAAGAAAACCTGTAAACTACATAACTGCTCCAGACCATTAAAGAGACCAGTTTTCATAAGATTATAGAGACTGGTTGCCACATATATGTCTAAACTAAAAAAGGTCTAAAGATATCTGTCTGCCTGTGCAGTGTCTAACTAAGCAATGTACATTGCATTTTCTTAAATGTAGTTTTAATTAAGTCTTCCATAAAAATAAATCTTCAGTGGTTTAATGTTGGAAATTATTAATGTAATTGGACAATTAAGACAGCTATAAATATTAGTATTGTTGTAAGTATACACTTGGGCTGTAAAATTAAATTATTATTATTATATTTTACCATTTTACATTAAACTTTCACAAGAGTCATTTATAATTTTTGTTTTCATTTAGTAAGTTTTGTATTTTATTTAATAATAATAATAAATAATAACAATAATAATCCTTATTTATAGTCCTATTGATTAGCTATAATCACAGTTTTGGCCAAATTGTGAAGCTCTACAAACAAGCAAAGCATTGATATTTTTTCTCCAAATTGGGCCCATTTTAAAGGTGACATTTCATGAAAATCGGACTTTTCCAGGTTTTAAGTGCTATAATCATCTACCAACCAAGGAAACATGAAAAAGATTAACCCAGTAACTTTGTTTTGGTAAGCCTTTTTCTGCAAGCGTCTGAGAAAACGAGCACGTCTGATTTCGCTCCCTTGGTGACGTGGCAAAGGGATCTCATTTTAATATTACCACCCCTTAATCTGTAAGTTTCCACCCACGGCGCCATTATTGTGTTTTCGCAAGCGACAACGGTGTACTAGTTCTAATGCCATGGCGAAAGTTTGAGCAAAACATGCTAACTGTTCTGTCTTTGGCTGCACAGACCAGCACAGAACACTATTTAGAGTCCCAGCCTCAGAGGAGACAAGACAGCAGTGGATTTATTGATTTATTGACTGTATGTTGCTGCTGCCACACAGATCTAAAATAAACATGTGATTTATTTCCCAGCTGTTTACCTTCACAGACATAACCAACTGTTTTTGTAACTCGTGTGTTTTAACGTAAACTTGTGTGTGAATGAGAACTTAGTTTAGTACTCACATGCTGTGACAGCCGCTTTCTGTCGGTGTGTGCACTCAGAAAGCCGTATATCAGAAGTTTAAACTCATATGGTTTAAAACGCATGATTTCAGCGTGATAAACATGATAATCAGAACCAAAACAGATGTTTTTAGCTTGTCCGAGCTGTAATGGCGCAGCTCTATTCTGGAAAAGGGGGCGAGGAGCAGCAGCTCATTTGCATTTAAAGAGACAGACCCGAAAAACAGAGTGTTTCTGCTTCCACTCAAAATAGGCCTTTTCAAAATTATATAATAAATGATCTGTGGAGTATTTTGAGCTGAAACTTCACAGACACATTCTGGGGTCACCAGAGACTTATATTACATATTGTAAAAGGGGCATAATATGTCTCCTTTAAAATGTAACTAGGTATGAAAAATGTGGTATATAAATAAAATAGCCTTGGCTAAAGGGTACAAAACCTGTGGAAAAATTCAAATCTTGCTGATACACATAAGATAAAAAAATATATATGTAAATGTAAATGTAAATAAAATCATTCGCGCTCCATAATCTCCATACACCTGTAGAGATAAAGAAACCAGTGACTATGAGGATTATTATCCCCTCACCTCTGGGCCTCACGCTCGTCTTTGGGGTTGTAGTTGGAGAGACAGTCCAGGATAAAGATCTGACCCCACTCAGTGCATTCATTGAGGGCTGTCAGGAGCTTATTGATGTTCTGAGGATTCAGGTCCAGAAGGTTGCTGTTGGGGTGAGACTCGCTGATCTCAGACAGGGCAGCAACTGCATTAGCCACAACCTATGTGAAAATCAGATATCAGTAAAGAATTGTGAATGGGGAAGTATGCATTTAGGACAATTAGATCCAAAGTATCTAACCATGGGGTTGGAATCAGCGATCAGGTCCCTGAGAGAATCCAGGAAGCCCTGGTCCTCCACCATCTGTGCATTGATGTCATGCAGTTTGGCCACGCACACTGCAGCGGTCTTCCTCACATAGGGGTCTTCATCCTTCAGACACTTTCGCAGAGGCTCGCACAAGTACTCAGTGATCTTGTCCACACGAATACAGCCCATTGTACGCACAGCCAGAGCTCGGATCAGAGGGTTTGGATCCTCACAGTCCTAAAAAAAAAGAAAGAATAACTTCAGACCTCTTGGTGGAATTTTACAAAATCATAGTACACTGATGTCCAAATTTGATCCAAACTTTAACAACAATTCTCACCTTGACAAAGCTGTTAACGGCCATGATGGCCATGTCAGGTTGACTCTTGGCATAGTTCATAAGGTACAGGTAAACCAGTTTCTTCAGCTCCAGGTTATCGGTCTGCATGCAGTTTACCACATCTGGAAACAAGGAACTAAAGATACAGGTAAAAAGGTATTAGCATAACTATTAGGGTCAAAATAATCATCTTTTAAGAAATGTGGGAGGTATGAGTGCATATCTGATTCAGTAATGGTGATAAACGAGACAGTCAAAGCACCTGACATCCTTGCCCACTGTCATGGCTGCAATGACTTTCTTCACTGCCTCTTTCCTCTTCTCCTTCTTCTCATTGTTCAGCTCGGCCTTCAGCTCAAAGATTTCACCTGTAACAGAGAGTAACATGATTAGTGCTCATCTGATCTGAAGTTTTCAGAGGCTAATGCTTATATAAGTTCTATGGAGCAGAAGAGTAGCATTAAATTCACAATTATTCTACACACAAGTACACTATATTTAGTCAAAATAAACGTTGTTTACTATTTTACTACTATTCCACTAATTCTTGAAATATTTACTTGTCATATTTCCACTTTTAAATTAATCAGAAATGATCACTAGAGTGTTCTCGATACAAATGTACCCCTAAAATTACTTGGAAAATCAACACTTATTATAGATTGGCGGTGTGTCAGAGTGCCTGTATTAAAACTGAAAAGATCGAGGAACTGTGTGTGTGTGTGTGTGTGTGTGTGTGTGTGTGTGTGTGT